TATATGAAAAGGCGATTTCGACTATGGGTTCTCCCCTAGTTAGAAGGCATGTCTTCACATGGCATGCGGGCCTCAGCACACACACGATTTCTTAGCAAAAGAATAGCCTTTAACGGCTTAGAGCTTCGCCCACAAAAGTGCTTAGCAATAGGGAAGACAGATTGAGATTCAGTGTTTCAAGCTGCATCTAATGGTAATCAGCTTGTTTGGATTAGCCACTTCGACTTCTGATATTCCCTTGTTAGCTCATTCATCTATTTTTGGTAAATGTGGGGAAATTGGAGGTGAAAGCGAACCGTCCACGTCTTGTGGGGCGATAGCGTCTGCAGTATTTAGTGGATGCGGAGAATTCGACTCGTTGTTGTCAGATTCAGGTCGCTTTTCGAATGAAAACAATGTGCCAAAGCGGAAGTGTTGTACCACCGGGAATTTTTTGAGAATCTAAAAAAGAATATTTCTGTACTTGGGTTGTAGTGCAGAAAATCAAAAGTAATTTTGTACACGCATACCTCTCCCTCATACATTTTAAAAAGGCCACTGTTCACTTTAGTCCAAGTGGGAACAGCAGAGATGTTCCATAACTGATTGGAATGCTGATAAAACGGTCCGCTCTTTGTCTGGAAAATTCTTTTCCTAAGTGGAGTTAATTAGGACAGTATTGGTATTTCACCTGATTGATAAAATTTACACAGTCGAAAAAGAGGTACTTATGTGCATTAGCTTCCACCGTGGTAGGTTTCAAATAAGATTCGGGTACAAGAGATTTGTTGCCTGAAGCCGAAAATCTGAGAAGCTCAAACTTCGTGTTTAGAGACTCACCAGCTAGTTGCGCACTTCCCCAGAGAAAAGGAAGAAACTGAAAATCATCTATGGAATGTACGCCTTGGCTGCCGGCGGGTTCCATTTTATAGGTAGTCTGGAGTGTGCGACATAGGTGTAAATATCTGAAAGAAACGGATAGTACCATTGTTGCAGAAAAAAAAATTCAAATATCAGCAATAACAGTAAAAGTCATTTAGAAAATCCACCCATTCTAGGTATTTTCTAGGTATCATAAAACGTCAAAAGCAAAATCTACCCACTACCCGATTTCCTAGTGCAATTAGTTTATAAAATCTTCACTGCATGCGACACAGTGTATTTACTGCTGAAATAATGTCAAAATATTTCTGCTGAAATAATGTCAAAATATTTAAGTACGCGCTAATAATTAAGTTGGCTTTTCAACAGTTTTAGTGCAAAAATGGATTGATTACAAACGAATATGGTCTCTCGAGAGATTTCTCTACATTCAAAAAAATCCACTGCAAGCAAACGAAAATAATTAGCAAAA